GTCAACATAAACCATAAAAGTTCATGTAATGTTTTACGAATCAAAAAAAAGGTTTTTGACGTATAAAGCAAAAATTAAAAAATCCTTAAGGCATTTTAAAACTTTGCATCTACCTGTTTAAGGCTTCCAAGGGACTGGTCAAGCTTCCAAAAGTTTCCAACCATGTTTATGGCACAAGTAAACAACTTTTTAAACAGTTTAAACAAGAAAAAATAAGATAAACAAAGAAAACAAAAACCGCCAACTAACTGTTTAAACCAACCGCTTTGTGGTCAAATGGGAATTATAGTCTATAAACTTATCTGAAAACACCAGTTTATTGTCTAAACCAGTAACAGTTTATTACAGTGCTCCGTGCAGGAGTATTACATCACGGATTCAGCAGAAAGCCCGGCTCCTGTGGGGACGTAAGCAGCACACACACTCCACTAAACCACAAATACGCCCACAGTCCGCGAGCGCCGATGTGGAAAAAGGTGTTACATCCCTTCAGAAATTATTTCCAGAAGGAGAAAAAAGGACAATCTAAAAGTTTTTTTTCTTTTTGTGGAAACTAATACATGTGTGAAAAGCTAAAAATGTGTTCCTCTCTGTAAAGTTTGTCAGATCTTCCAGACTGGACACACCTGGATGCAGGATTTCTGCTGGTTTGGGTTTAAACATGCCAAACCCTCCCGTGACGTTTCTGTTTAGGCTGCTTGAGATTTCCAACGTTTAACTTCTGTTGCTGGTTTTTCAGAGTTATGCAACATTCAGTTTAATGAGGGGTACAGTAGATCCAATGGATAAACTTAAACAGAGCAGAACAAAGGCTAAAATGAGGAGAACAGAAGCTAAAATGAGCAGAGCAGAGGCTAAACTGAACAGAACAGAGGGTAAAATGTGTAAAATAAAAGATAAAGATAAAGACTACATGTAGCAGAACAGATGCTAAAATTAGCTAAACTGATCCTAAAGAAAAATGTAGTTTAAATAGTTAATATAGCAAAACAGTAGCAAAAGTCTAAAAAGTAGCATAGCCTTAACTAAGAGTAGAATGATAGCTAAAAGCTAAATGTAGCATAATCTAAATTTAAAGCTAAAAGTAGCAGAACTTTCACCTTTTCAGAGTAATGTGAGGGATAAAATCCTGCTTATTTTTCTTCTTTTGTAAATGTCATAAAGCAAAGAAATGTCATGCCTTTTCCAGATCTGCGTGATTAAAAACAGCCAGTGATTTATCGTGCAACGAGTCGTGCAGCTGCAGGAGTCAGGTGCATCTTCTGGGGGATGTTTTTGTTCCAGATCAGGTTTCTTTAACAGACTCATCATGTTGGAGACAAAAATAAAAAAAAGCTGTAAATATTCATATCAGCAGGAGGTTGGTGAATTCTTCTGCAAAACGGCAGTCATTTGTTTTCCTCCACATCTGTTTTAGTCTGCCCTCACACAAGAGCTCAGCGATGACGCTACATACCTGCCTATATATAGCATGCTAATGATAAACAACTACATTTTCAACAACACGGTGAAAACAAAAGAAAAAAATTGGATTATTTTTGCAAAAATGCAGCGCGAGTGTTGAAAGACTCTGAAGAAGCTTGTTGCAGCTGAAACTGATTGGTTGGTTAAAAACAACAAAAGCAAAAAATTTGTTATAGTAACGCTCAAAGCTAATATTAGCAAGACATTTTTAAAATCTTAAAGCAGCAAAAAAATAAATAAATACAATCAGGAAAACAGTACCAGAAAGCTAAAACAAGAAGAAGAAAAAAAAAAAGAAGCTAAAATAGGCAAAACAGTAGCCAAAGCCTAAATACAATAGTAGCTAGTAGTTTTAGCTTCTCTTAACTGGCTCCCAGTTAAAGTTAAACATTTTAGTTTTAACATTTAGAGCCTTGCGCGAACAATCACCTTCTTACGTCTCCGACTTGGTTCAGCTCCACACACCGACTCGCAGGTTAAGGTCGTCAGGTCAGAGGTTGTTGGTGGCACCGCTCCCGTTTCACATCTCACATGATCCGATGTTTAGTTGAACCCAGGATGCAGACAGGACTCTCAGGGATTAAAATCAAGAAGGCTGCCATGACAGCAAAACTTACAAAAATGGGCATGGAGGCACAGAGAGAGGAGAGCATGACGCCCAGACAGGGGAACAACAAGACGCAGAACTTTTAGGGACACTAACGAAGGGACAATCACAAACACCTGGGGAAGAACACAGAGGAAGGCAGGAAACAGGTACCTCAACGCAGACACCCAGATCATCTCACGCAGGGATCCATCATTCCAGCAGCTGACCCCCAACTTTGGAAAGCTCTGCCTCCATCTTTACGCAGCCAAGATTGTATTGTACATTTAAAAACCACCTGAAGACGTTCTTTTATTAACAGACATTTATTTAGGTGTTGGGTTTTGTTGTGTTTTACCTGTATTTTTCCACGCTTTATGTATGTTGGTGTAATATTTTACTGCTTCTAGAGTGAAGCACCCTGTGATGTCATATCTATGAAAGGTGCTTTATAGATAAATTTTACTTACTTCAATTCAAATTCAATACTTTAATAATCCCAAAGGGAAATTAAATGTTGTAACTCATTATGGTTCTATTGAAGAGTTTTTTTTATAGATGCTGATGGCTGTGGGCAGGAAGGATAAACTGAAGTAGTCCGTCCCACAGCGGACACGTAGAAACTGGCCGCAGATGCCGATCCGTCCACCCGGACCTGGCAGGCCTCTCAATCCTCCTGTGCAGCAGGACCACCTAAATGCCAAATCTCTTCCCTGAGCGATGGCCACTCCTCCCAGCAGCCTGCTGAGCTTATTTTGGCTACGAACAGCCAGCTGCCGGTGCCAGGGGGTGATCCCGGTCCTCCCGCTGTCATGAGCAGCATTCCCCGTCAGCTCCAGGATCTTGGCATAGACGGGAATGCATCCACGTTGCCTCCTTTTCAACTCATTTGGAATTTGTGGCTTTATTTGAATTATTTGAGCTTTTGAGATGTTAATCAACTGCTCCCGGTTGTTTAAAAAAAATTAAATAAATTGTAAAAGTTACGCATCATATCAAAGGTCCAAAAATAGAAATAGCCAAAAAGCTAAAATTATTAGAACAGTAGCTGGAAAACTAAAAACTGATAAACAGTAGATAACAGTAGATAAAAGATACAAATTTGCAAAACAGTAGAAAGTTAGCAAAATAGTAGCTACGCACTAATATTAGCTCAACAGTAGCCAAAAGTTCAAAAACAGTTGCAAAAAAGTACAAGAAGTAGCCAAAAGCTTCATTTTTTAGAACAGTAATTAAAAAATGTAACCAGCAAAACAGCTAAAACCAAGCAACTGTGCTGAAATAGATTTAAAAGAGCACAAAGGTTTTCAAGTAGCTTGTAGCTACTTCAGCAAGCTTTCAGCTATTTTAACTAGGGATGCACGATATTCTTGAATTGTATATAAAATATCGGAATCGGTTATTGGCCAAATAAGTTTTAACATATCGGTTATCGGCCAAAAATCCAATATCGTGCATCCCTAATTTTAACCATTCGTATATTAAAACATTTGACTCGTTCAGGACCTTACAGGGATGTCTGTGTTTACAGGTTTAAGTATGTTACAGGGATATTTGTGTAACTTTTATGTTTAACATCTAAAAATTATACCCAAGAACTACAACAACCAGCTAAATAAAGAGCAGAGTCCAGTCGGAGGAGTGATGATGTAATGAGAAGTCCACTCTCTTCCTGTAAGAATCCAACAATGTCATCGTTGGACTTACAGAAATGCATAAATAAGACAGAGTATATGTTGTAAAGGGCGTTTATTGAAGTTCAATGCAAGCCAGTCGCATTTCATAACAACAAATTACAAAAATCTATATTTCCCCTTTTGCTAAACTTTTATTTTGAAATATAAAAGAATAACTTTAAACAAGACTCTTCATAGTGATTTTTCTAAGAAAAGTTAACGGTAACTTTGGTGATTTTCCTTTTATTTCATATTTACAAATTTACAATTTCAGGACATCTTGAGTTTCTTATGACTTGTGTGGGTTTTTTCTGGCAGCTGAAGTCGCTCTCGTTAGCTTTGGGCATGATGGGCAGGAGGTAGACCTCCTGTCTCAAGTTGATCTAACTAAAGCAAACTTTGTGATCTGTGCTGCCTTGAATTTAGATTCAACTTGTGCATTTCTCATACGATTGACTCCTCATGGATAGAAATAAAACAAACCAGATTTTAATCACGGACGCACATTCTCGTGTGTCTGCACTATTAATTTCAAAATCTCGTTTTTTCTTTATGCCTAAGGTTTGTCTTAACCATTTATTTTGACAAATTAAAAATGAATTAGAAATGTTAATGATGAACTCCCATTATTTTTACTTAAAAATGTATTTATTTTCATTTTTTGGCCAACTATTAAGATACTTTTTAAATTTTTTTAACAAGAGCCCGTTAATAAAAATGTCTTCGGAGTACCTGCTCTGAAAACTGTCATTAATTTCCTCTTTTTATGACCTGATAAAAAGTGCCAGTCGTTGGGCAGGGATGCGCCAGTAATGTACAAAACAAATTATTGTTGTGTTCACTGAGTAACATGAGACTGTTAAATGTGTGAACAGTTTGAAAGGAAACAAAACTAGTTCAGTCCAAATCAATGGTTAACAGTCCTCCATTTTTTAAAGTTTTGTGGTTTGACAGATCCCTGAAAATACATCTTTTGCTTCCAATACTAAAATCTTCAAGGGACATTGTGTTTTTTTTAAACTAATTTGATTGATAGATGAGCTTTATTAAGGCCACGATCATACAAAGCCCAAACGTTGCATTCTTTGCGCAGCGGTACTTTCAGTTCCCGACAGCAGTTCAGTCTGAGAGGGTCTGTTTGAGACTTCCTCTTTCAAGTCCCATCTTGAAACTGATCTGGTGCTTTTGTTCATAATTTTTCACAGAATCTCACGGAAACAAACGATTGCGTTTCAGATTACAGCGATTCTTTCAGTTCGCGTCTGATCGTGAGTTCCTTGGCTTCTTCGGACCAAACGCTCACCGTCACATTCCGTCTTTCTCTCTACTGCCTCTTTGACCCGGCAGCAGGCGTCACAGCTGGCTGCTGAGGGGTGTCGGTGCAATCGTTGGTGTACGACAAACCAGGGGGTCCAGGGGTGCCTGGTGGTCCAGGTGGCCCTTGTTTTCCCCTTGATCCCGGTGGTCCAATAGCACCTGGCAGTCCTACCTCGCCCTTGATTCCTGGATACCCTGTGAGCCCAGGTTCACCATCTTTACCAGATAGACCCGTATCACCTTTCTGGCCCTTTTCCCCTTTGGGGCCTTGGAGACCAATCGACCCCTTGGCTCCTTTGATACCCAGGGCTCCTTTGTTGCCAACAGGACCAGGTTCCCCCGGTGCTCCTTTGGGGCCAAGAGAACCTTTCACACCTGCAGGTCCACCGCTCCCTATAGGGCCTCTGTCCCCTTTGCTCCCAATCAGTCCCGCAGATCCTTTTGACCCCGTCTCACCACGGTTCCCTTTGGCTCCAGGTGGTCCAGGAGCACCTGTTGTTCAAATATTGTGAGGTGAGTTTTAAAACTAAAGATGACCCACAATGTTCTGTTTCTACTCGACTGCAATACCTTTAAGAATAGTGAAGTTTTTTATGATCTTGGTATGAACAACATCCACGAGCTTCATCTCCTCTATCACCATGGACAAGTTCATCACTTCCACATCCAGCTGGAAGTTCAGCATCACGTTCTGCTGCCTCAGTGTTTCGGCTACGTTTTGGAGCGACAAGACTGTGCTGTTCATGTACTGCAGAAAAAACAGCAGAAAGATACAATGAACAAAGAAAACTGACGTCTACAGCTACGTAAAACAGAAAAAATCTTACACCTTTCTTCAACAAACTGTTTATAGTTCAAAAGCACCAAATTAACTAACCAACACTGATTGTACCAAGGTAGCTTAGGACTAGATGAGGACATTTCCAAAGACATATTCAAAAGCTGGATCATTGCTCTGACCCAACAATGAACGAAAAAAACTATCACATTTGATGTAGTTTATACAGTTTTATAAGATCTATACTTTTTAGACATTCAGAGGATGAATTACTCAGCCAGAAAATACATTTATATGCATCAGCTATATGACGAGGGTGGGGACAAAGATCTAAAACGATGAATTCCCATTTAATGAGGTTTTCCAAGTCTGTTTAATATTTGCGAGTTATTTATATTTATTGCCTTCTTCCCAACCTGCAGGTCCTCTGTGTGTTTGCCCAGGCGACTCTGGCAGGAAGAGCTCTCTACATTGATGTACTTGTACATGCTCTGGACATGGTTGACGGTGGCGTTGATGCTGGAGGCGACGGTGTCGATCTCCATCTCGATGGCGTTCAGACGGCTTTCCAAGGCAGAGAAACGTTCCCCGGTACGATTCTCATAATACCTAAGAGACGCCGTTGGCGTTTGTGTTGGATCACAGAATTTAGCGCATTTTTGCGTCTGTGTGAAAAAGGCGTCCGCACTAAAATTTGAGTTTAGTTTTGTCACCTGGAGTGGTACTGAAGATCATGCAGGTTCTCCTCATTTTCATCCAGGAATCCCGTCACATTGTCGAGTTGCATTTGGAGGTTTAGCATCTGCAAGAAACAGGTTTCAGTTCTTATCCAAAGGATCTTCAGTGAAATATAACCAAACAATAGGCTTCTCTGAGGTACTGTTGGTCCCACTATGGGGAGGGGGGGGGCTTCTCTAAGCCTAGAGTTTGCTTTTGCACCACCAGAGGAGTCCGGGTCAGACAGTCAGTGCAGCATTTTCCAACAGCAACAATAGAGGATGAAGCAATCAGAGTGATGTGTTTGATGTTTGTCTTTGGGTTAATGGTCACATTGGAGACTGATCACGTGATACAAATATTAAAAAGCAGAACAATGACACAAGTGCTCATAGAAAATACTGCTAACACAGTTAGAAAACGTTGTGGGTGTTTAAATAGTTTTAAGCTTGCTCAACAAGTCAACAGATGCTTATGTATGGACAAGTCGCATCCAAGCAATACTCTAAAGCAGGGGCTAAAACAGACCACTAACACGTAGCCGAAAGAACCACAAACAGTTGCAGTATCAACAGTGCAAAACAAATAAAAGGCAAAATAATTCTAAGAACTGTGAACAGGTTTCTAGAGGTCTGAAAGCACCTACTAACTGGTTACAATCGGTTCAGTCCTCACTTTTAAACTCTGATGCTGCTTCCAGGATTTAAAGGGATTTCCAAAAACACACCAGAGAATGATAACTCAGGTCAACATTTAAGGTAAGCTGGTTTAAGCTCAGGTCGTACGGTGGCTCAGCTGATACAGCTGTTGCCTCTCAGTGAGATCTAATCCCAGCTGGGGACCTTTCTGGGTGGAGTTTGCATGCATGGGTTTTCTCTGAGTTTCCTCCCACAGAACAAAAACATGCATGTTAGACTAATCGGCAACTAAATTGTCTCTCGGTGTACAAAGTAAGTTGAACGGTTGTTTGTCTCGTTTGTCTCCATGTGTCCCTGTGATGGACTGGAGACCTGTCCAGGGTGTCCCCCGCCTCTTGCACAGTGACTACTGGATATGGGCAACAGTGACACCCCCACAACCCAAAAAGGAAGACGAAACTAAAGACAATGGATGGATAAATGAATGGATGGAAGGATGGATTTTTAAGCTCAGGTTAAGTTCAAAGAACAATGACAAATGCTATGCAAGATGGCCGCGCTCATAGCAGTTGCAGCTTCACAGGTTTCCGGTACCATCCCAGTTTTTAGAAGTTTTGATATTGACTCTGTGCCTGACTCCGCACGATTTATGCGTGTGAACTATAGCCGAAGCGAATTGGTGAGAATAGGAGCGGATTTGCCACAAAATATAGCAGAAATCAGCAACAAACTCAAAACTACGCTCGGCAGAATGCAGATCTTAAAGTCATCTACCTGGAAGCTGCAGCAGAGGCATTCCAGTGGGCAGAAGAGGAAGCGCTGCTCCTGGCTTAAGAGGAGAGGATGCCGGGCGGGGGTTATGGTGAGGCTACGAGCTAACGCTAAAGCTGGAAAACTCCAGATGCCATCTCTCTTTCTGTCGAACGTCCGCTCGTTGGACAACAAGATGGATTTACTTTGTCTGAGAGCGGGCGCCTCAGAAGAGATGAAGAAGTGTGCTGTACTTTGCCTCACGGAAACGTGGATTACAAGCGAAATGCCGGACACAGTCTTCCAGCTGGATGACAGACTTTTTTTCGAGCGGACCGCTGCAGCGAGCTAACGGGGAAATCACGGGGAGGCAGAGTGTGCATTTACGTGAGTAAAAGTTGGTGCACGAACTGTACTGTTGTAAATAGCTCATGCTCGAAGGCTTTGGAACAAATAACTGTGAAATGTCGGCCACATTATCTGCCCCGTGAGTTCACAGTGACTTTCATCACAGTCATTTACATTCCTCCGGACGCTAATGCTAATGACGCCTTGTAGGAACTACATGATATCATCAGCTTGCTGCAGAACAAACACCCTGAGGCGCTTTACATGGTAGCCGGAAACTTTAATCACGTGAATCTTAAGGACTGTCTCCCAAGCTTTTATCAACATGTGTGCATACCAACACGTGGAGACCACACGCTGGACCATGTTTACACGAACGTAAAAGATGCATACAAAGCCGAACCCCGCCCCCACCTAGGACTGTCAGACCACATCTCAATCTTCCTGGCTCCTGCTTACATGCCCCCGCTGAGACGCTCCAGAGCGGTACAAAAGAAAGTTAAATGTTGGATCCAGGACAGTGGCCCCATACTGAGAGATTGTTTTGACCGAACAGACTGGCAGGTTTTCAGAGAATCTGCTGAAAATGGAGGTTCGCTTGATCTGGACCAATACACATCCTCAGTTCTGGGTTACATTAGTACATGTACTGACACCGTCTCCACTATCAAAAATGTTAAAAGCTACCCAAACAGAAAACCTTGGCTAAATGCAGAGCTGCGCACCCTGCTGGAAGCCAGGAACACTGCCTTCAGGTCTGGAAACTCAAGAGGAGCTGAGCAGGACAAGGAAAGAGCTGGTTGCTGGTATTAAGAAGGCCAAGGCCACATACGCAAAGAGGATCGAGGGTCAATACATCTCACAAGACCCTCGGAGCATGTGGAGGGGCATTAAGTGCATAACAGATTATAAAGAAAAGAGCGAACAATGCCCCAAAGACCCATCTCTGCCTGATGCCCTCAACAAGTTCTATGCACGCTTTGAAGACCCCAACAGACCACCCAGCACCAGACTCACCTCACCACCGGATGAAGAGCATCTCAGCGTGACCTCAGCCAAAGTAAGGAGTACCTTCAGGAGGATTAATCCGCACAAAGCAACTGGCCCAGACAACATCCCCGGAAAAGTGTTGAAAGAATGTGCTGATCAGCTCTGTGAGGTGCTGGCAGACATCTTTAACACCTCACTTACCCTGGAGACAGTTCCCACCTGCCTGAAGACTGCCACCATCATCCCAGTCCCAAAAAGCTCTACAGTGACTGGTCTGAATGACTATCGGCCAGCGGCCCTCACCCCAAGAGTCGCTAAATGCTTCGAAAAACTGGTCATGACTCGCATCAAAACAACCATCAACATCAACGAGGACCCTCATCTGTATGCATACTGTGAGAACTGATCAACAGAGGATGCCATCTCCTCTGTGGTCCACACTGCACTCAACCACCTGGAGCAGAAGAACTCTTACGTCCGTATGCTCTTTGTGGACTTCACATCCGCCTTCAACACCATGATCCCCCAAACCCTGATGGACAAACTATTCACTCTAGGACTAAGCCCCTCCATTTGCAACTGGGTACTAAACTTCTTAACAAACAGACCACAATCAGTGAGGATCCACAACTTCTCCTTCTCCACCATAACCTTCAGCACTGACTCTCCTCAGGGAAGTGTGTTGAGCCCCCTCCTGTTTACTCTGCTCACGTATGATTGTGCAGCTACCCATCCAGGCTGTCACATTGTAAAGTTTGCAGATGATACAGCGGTGGTGGGATGCATCACAAACAATGATGAGTCCAGCTACAGGCAGGAGGTGGAACACCTGGAGAGCTGGTGCAAAGAGAATAACCTTCACATCAATGTGAAGAAGACAAAGGAGATGATTGTGGACTTCAGAAGGAACAAAAACACCTACACCCCCCTGAACATAAGAGGATCTGCGGTGGAAGTGGTCTCCAGCTACAAGTACTTGGGTGTACACATGAATGACAACCTCAGCTGGAGCAACAACACCACCAGCCTGATCAAGAAAGCTCATCAGAGACTCTACTTCCTCAGGCGGGTGAGACAAGCTGGACTGGGAAGCTTAGTCCTCACCTCCTTCTACAGGTGTGCAGTGGAGAGCATCCTGTGCTCCAGCATCAACCTGTGGCATGGAGGCTGCACAGCTGCAGAAAGAAAAGCTTTGCAGAGAGTGGTGAAGGCTGCACAGAAGACTGTTGGAGTCAGCCTCCCCACCATCACAGACATCTACACCTCTAGATGCAGGAAGAGGGCCACCTGCATCATGAAGGACCCCACTCACCCAGCACACACACTTTTTGCCCCACTCCCCTCAGGAAGGAGGTTGAGGAGCATTAAGTGTAGAACCACTAGACTGAGGAACAGCTTCTACCCTGAGGCTGTTAGATTCATGAATCTCTAATCAGAATAATCACTGTGAAAAAAATCACATCATGTTGCTGCTGATCTGTTTCAATGTTGATGTGTTCATGCGTGCTCATCTGCTCACACAGACTCATGCTCATGTTTGTGCTGATGTTTGACATAATGTTTTTATGCTATTAGTGCTTAGTGTATATTTAGTTGATGTTTTTCTTAGTTCATATCTTAGATGTTATTACTGTTTTTCTTTTGCATTTTATTGTTGGATGTAACTGGGACCCTGTGTACATAATTTCGCTCCACCACATGTACCACATGAGGTGCGAATGACAATAAAGAAACTCTGACTCTGACTGAAAATTTACTTTTTCTTTTGCAAAGAATGTCTTTATCAAACCAACTCAGACTCAGTTTAAATCTGTGCCTTACCTGCTGCGTGAGGTCATAGATCACCTCAGATGACATAGAAATTCTCTGCTGATCCATCTTGATGCTGTTTTGAAGAAAGCGCATGGTTTGCGACATGCTGCTTGCGTCGGATTTGATAGAGCCCATAACTCGACTGTAGTTCTGCCAGTCGCTGGTCAACTTCTGGAGGACCAGAGTCTCCTCGTCCGCTTTTCTCTGCAGGGCATTGATCCACATTGTGCTGAGGAGCAGAGGAAGATCAGAAAACATGAAATGCCAGTGACAAGAGCTGATCTTTTCTGTCTTAAAGTCACGCTCTGACCATGGTTTGATCTGTTTTGCATATCAACTGTTTTCTTCAAAGGTGTACATATGAATGTTGTTTAGGCTTTCTCTCTGTCAAACACTGGTGGTGAAGTTTGCTCAAAATTTAATGTTCTTGTGGAACAGATCGGGGCCTCTTCTTCAGGGCTTTGGTTATTCATGGTGAAGGAAGAGTTGAGCCAAAAGACAAAGTTCTTGATTTACTGGTCCGCCTTTGTTCCAACCCTCACCTACGGTCACCAAGTGTAGTTTATTACTGAAAGAACAAGATCATGGATAAAAGTGGCCTGAATACGGTGACTGGGCTCAGCCTTAGAGTTAGGGTGCGGAGCTTTGTTTTACGGGAGTAGCAACAGCGAAAGGAGTTAGTTGAGGTGGTTTGGGCAGCTGATTAAAGCCTCCTGGGCGTCTCCCTTTGGAGGTTTTCCAGGCATGCCCCACTTGAGGATCTCATGGGACAGAGAATTTGCTGAAAGGATTATACTGTATATCTTCTGTGGACTGGGTACACCTTGGGGTCCCTCAGGAGGAGCTGGAGAGTGTTGCTGGAGAAATAGATATCCAGGTTTCTTTCCTAGACCTGTTGCCTCTGCAACACAACCCCTGATAAGTGGCAGAAGTCAGAGATGGTAGAAACCTTGACGAAACAAGTATTGTTGAAAAATAAAATTAACCCAATATTACAAGTGAAGATATAAAAACATGGCTGTTTTTCCTCTTGACAGTTGATGAAAATCCCACTTTGCAAATTTACTGAATCATAATGTACTGTACATGTGGAATTTGAATAAATGTGTCTAACAGGCATATTTAGTGATTAAATTTAGCTTATAAAAAGACAAAATCCACAATTGAACCACAATAAAATATATTTTACTGTACATTCCTGTTAAATTACAATTTCTAAACTTGTGTTGTATGAAATTTGTCTCGTGCCTTTCATTCACCTTAGACCTACAGTTGTGTTCACTTGCTGTGTCGTAGCTTTTATGTTGTACTGGTCCTTTGTCAGCGTTTTCATCTTCTCCTCAGTTTCTTCGATCACCTCCTTCCAACCTTCCACTTGATGCAGGAAACTTTCCAGGGACTGGTTGAGTAATTTGATGGACATGAGGTGGTTTTGGACTTCCCTCGTCAGCTGGTTGCTGGTGGTTTTTGTGGTGGTCTGTGTTTGGGAAGCATGGTCCAAGACCTGGAGGGGTCCGAAATTAAAGGAGACATCAGAATATTGAGGGTTTGTTTTGATGCTTTTCTCTGTTATAATTTTACAGATTGTTTTGTGGAGTTTGGACAAAAATTAAACTTTTGGATTTGTGAATTTAGCTTTATATTCATACCTGCTCTTGTCCCAGAATCATCTTCTGGATGTCTTCAAATTCTCTCTTTAGCCTGCTGATCTCCTCTTTGTAAAATGACACATCCTGGCAGCCTGAAGAGTTGGACTCGGACCTCAGATCTGAGACAGGAAGAAAGAGACGGACGTGACCATCCATACAGTACCTGTTGACAACTGATTACTTGGTAACAGTTGACCAGATTTGTTTTATAAATTTGATTTCCATCCCTATCTAAGCCAGTGCAAAAAAAATAATAATTTTGGTGTTCTGCTAATTTACCTTCAATGCCCTGTTGAACCTTAGTGATCTGCTTGTTGTGTACCAGTTCCTCCTTAGATAAATTGTCCACCTTTTTGAACACTGAAAGCACAGAGATTTTAAAATGAAATGAAAGTTTAATCTCAGAATTATTACTTTAATCTCAGAATTCTGACTTTTTTCTCAGAATTATTACTTTAATCTCTGAATTCTGACTTTAATCTAGGAATTCTGACTTTTCCCCCCTCAGAATTAAGGGGAAACAATTTTTTGCATCATGGCCCTAATCCTCTTTCGTAGTAACCATAGACTTCAACAAACAAACCTTAAAAAAGGTTTAAAATAAGTATGTATAAGACGGCCCCTGAGAACTCTCAACAAAATACAGAAATGATTTCCTTCAACGGTTCTTTGGTGGTAACAGGAAACATGAAGTATTTAAAGGAGCAAAAAGAGGAAGTTGTAATTGTAAAACATGTTCAGCTTTCATTAGCTAACAAAGACAACTGAAACATAGACAAACATTTACCCAGCTGGACAGATCCTGACTCCTCCACTTATTTCCCAGGAGAGCAATAGTTAAGTGTATGTGCTTGGAGTGCAGAGTTCAGATTAGTGAGAATGCAGTTTGTTTAGTGGTTATCGTTCTGTCTTTTTCAGCATTTTAAGCTTTGACTTAGAAGACTGATGGAGTCCTGTGCTGTGGCTGGCCTTTATGTATCTAAACGCTTCCACATGTTCAGCACATACCACCTGCTCGCTTGTATTAGATATGGTGACAGTGATGAAGAATGGGGTTAATGGCTCTTGGTTTGTTGGAAAATTACTGCAGAGGAACGGGTTTTTATTACTTTTGGTGTAAGGATATACAGTTAGTTACCAAATATAAAGATTAGGACTGCACAGTATATTGCAAATTTATTGCCATCACATTATCAGTGAGCACAATATCTATATCACAAAGAACTGCCTGAACATCAAATGGACCATTCATGAACCATTATATTCAAGCACCAAGCATAAATGTGCTGTTGCTTATAATGAATTTGATCCATCCAACAGACTCTCGCTGGCGTTTATGGCCGCCCCTCGTTTAAATAATGATGATGAAAGAGGAAATAATAAGTGAAGAAAACATGCTTGGTACTGATACTGTCACCACAGTATTAAACAATAATATTGCACACGCGATGTTTTTCTACTATTGTGCAGCTGCACTGAGCAAAAAGTTTAAAAATATTTCATTCTAAATGTATTACTTGAGTTTTTTTTGTGTTATGCTGACATAAGTTATAATTTTACCTACAAGTGGTGGAAGAAGAGTAGAAGTAGGATTAGCATTAAAAAATGGAGGCACGTGGAAAGCAGTCGCAAACTGTTAATTTATTAAAGTGAACAAACAAACAGACAACCAGCAAGATGAGGATTAAGAGATGAGCTAAACGCACTGAGAGAGGAGATGATGAATGACAATGTGTGTGTTGGTTACTAATAAAGTACAGGTGGCAGCGCGGTGGCTCAGTTGGTAGAGCTGTTGCCTCTCAGCGAGAAGGTCGACGGATCAAATCCCGGCCAAGTACCTTACTGGGTGGAGTTTACTCTAAATTGTCCCTAGGTGTGAGTGAGAGAGTGAATGGTTGTTTGTCTCGTTTGTCTCTATGTGTCCCTGTGATGGACCGGAGACCTGTCCAGGGTGTCCCCGCTTCTCACACAGTGACTACTGGATATGGGCAGCAGTGATTCCGGAAAAGAAGAAGCGAGTAAAGACGATGGATGGATGGATGGATGGATGGATGGATGGATGGATGGATGGAT